GCACTCACTCACAAAGACACACACACACACACACACTCTCACACACACACTCACTCACACACACACTCACTCACAAACACGCTCACTCACACGCTCTCACACACACGCTCACTCACACACGCTCTCACACACACGCACTCACTCACACGCACTCTCACACACGCTCACTCACTCACACACGCTCACTCACACACACTCACACACACGCTCACTCACACACGCTCACTCTCACACGCTCACACTCACTCGCACACGCTCACTCACACACACTCACACGCTCTCACACACACACTCACTCCCACACGCTCACTCACACACACTCTCAAACACACACACACACACACACACACACACACACACACACACACACACACACACACACACACTCACTCTCACACACACACACCTACCTACAGCAATTGAGATTAATTTTAACATTTAAATTACATTTATGCTGCTGGTGGCTTTTTAAGGCTACAAATTAATTTTGAAACAAATATTTGTGTGTTTCTGCAGTAATTATATTTAAAGGCTGATCATCTTCACAATCATAAATTTGCCAAGAAGGCTTTTGAGAGGATTAACCAATCAATGTGCCTTTGATAGAAAACAAGCATGTAGTTGGAAGTGTTTTGGCAACAAACTATGACCACTTATTCATTATAAAATCAAAGAGGAGGGGGTTGGAAATCCATCCGCTTCACAAATGAACACATGGAAGTATTACCAGACAGATTTACAGGCATAATACACAATGAGTGAGGAAAAGAGAGAACGATCAAGGCAATATGTGAGATCTGAGAGAGCAGCCAAATGTGTTAATAACACAGAAGTAAATCTTCCAGAGCTAGTCGCAGGGTGTCAGACAGACTCTGAAGTTCTGTGGAGGAGCATCATTCACACGGGAAGAACGTGACTGGGACGACGACTCTGTGAAAGCCATGGACCTTGAGGAAAATGTTCACACAACTGACCAGGAAGGCAGATGATCACTGGCAACCTGGGCGTATGTACACTACCCTCTGCATTAAAACCTACTGGAGAAGAACCCTGCTGAACACCACTCATTTGTCTTTCAGTGTTGATGGCCTGCCATTACTTAAGAAAGTCATGTGGCCTGTCCTATGTGCCATCCACCTCGATGCCATTGCTGTTCTCCCTACAACATTAATCTGTGGAAACAAACAGCCAGATGAGCTGCATCTTTTAGATGATGTTGCAGCATGCAATGCCAATGAAAGAATAAAAATAAACAGCACAAATTAGCTTTGTGGTCGAGTTTTTACTCTATGCTCCACCGTTTGAGTAAATTAACATTGTAAATTCCACAATATAGTAAAAGAAAAGCAGAGGAATCATCAGTTGGAACCAGAACCAAGGAACCAAGAAGGTAACAGAATTAGCCTCTGCTGTAGCGTCTGGACCACTCAAACACACAATACATATTTTGTTAGCTAGATTTAACAAATACTCTAACACCCCAGGAAGCTGAACAGGCCCCTGGTTCTATAGCAATGCTGACACCCGATACATTTACGACCTCCTGGAATTTAGGTGAAGAAAATCGCTTCCTTGCCCATAAGGAAAATCCACAAGGGAAGGACTTTTCTTTGCTAATTAATTAATAGGAAAACCTTTCTTTGAATGAACACACATGATCCTTCAGGTCATTGGGTATATTATTGTCATCGTGTATTTTGTCTTTGAAATTGTATACTGTGATGCAGGTTTATAATCGAAACACTCTCCTGTCATCCTTTCACTATTTGTAATCCTACCTTGTCTAGTATCTATGAAAAACCTTACTTGTATCACACTTGACGTGTTCATTGTTTGCTTATAACTGGAGTCACTTAATCATGCAGATTTATGCTACAAGCTTTGTAGAATTGTACAGTAAGAAAGTTATTTCCCTTAACCAGGAAACTAACGTTCTTAGAATTGACAAGACAGTTGACCCTGAGAGGTCAGCTAAATATCTACAGCGGATCTAAAATATTCATAATTAATTATAACTAGTTATGGTTAATTATTCATATTTCCTCATGAGCTGATTCGTTACACTGACTTTAAAAATAAATTAATTAATTAAAACTCAACAATGATGCAGTTACTGACCCCTTAACAATCCAATAAAACGCGCAAAAAAATTAGATTTTATTAAGGTGTATTATTAAGGTTTCATTTTATTAAGGCTCAAAATTCTGTGTAAAGACATTCCATTCAATGGAATTTGTATTCGATTACAATTGTAACTGTATTAAATATAGTATTGACTCTGTTTCTTTGCAATGCGTGTGTATTCGCAGATTATTTTTTATGTTGTCTAGTTTGTGGCTTAATTTATGTTGAGTAATGTACAACAGATATTTCTCCGTTTTAAGAAACTTTGCATACTTGCCTTGTAACATCCTTAATTGCTGAATCTTTGGCAACCAAAAGGGTCAATATTGACTGATATAATTTTGGGAACATTGCCTAAAACAAATATTAAAGGGCTCATATGATGCGATTTTAAATTTTTAAAATTTTTTAATTTTTAAAGAAGATCTGTAAAGTTGCAAAGACTAAAGTCTCAAATCCAAAGAGATATTCTTTATAAAAGTTCAGAGTCAGCCACGCCCTCCTAAAACGGCTCGTTCTAACACGCCCCCACATACCTACATCACTATGTGGGAATATTTGCATAACGCCGCCCAAATGTTCACAAAAAGAAAGAAGGCGTAACTTTTATTCTCGCTGTAGAATTGTTGACGCTGTGTGCTTCGTTGTGAAAGCGAAACTACTTTGTTTGGTCTTCCAAAAGAGGACACGACATCTGCATCAGATTTAGAAAGATGATCAAAATGAAGTACAGCCTAAACCACTTCCTGGATCATATTTTCATTAGGTAACATTACAGGCAGTTTTGATCAGTGTTGCCAGATTGGAAATGTCCAAGTATCGTACCAGAAGCTCAAAACTATCGTATTTAAAAGAAAATTACCGTACACTAGTTATGCATACAGAATACAGCTATTTATATCTTAAACAACAACTTTTTAACATGACATGTAAATTACCACAATAGATAAATAACTGGCGTACCTCACATCGTATATAAAAATACAAAATACTATAGAACACATTATAATCAGTGATGCTGTCTACACTGGCGAGGCGCGACACGACAAATCCCGCTGCCGCGTTCTATTTATTACATGCTGACACAAAGTTGAAATGATTTTCAATGGTCGCTTTGTCGCGTCCAGTGTAGACCGCTGTCGAGGCACGGCGCCACGGTATGGAAGGACCAAACTCCATCTCCGAGTCGCTGTCATCGGAAGCCTGTGTTGCCAGATGTTGAGGAGGTTCTTCTGCATTACAGATTTGATGCCCTCATGGACTGCAACATAGTGCTCGTTGGCTTAAAAGCAGGGCACCCTCCCACATTCTTAACCAGTTTAGAGTGTCTGTAATGACCCAATTTCGTGTATAGGTATAGAAGCCCTATGATTACAGCAACCATTATTTGAAATGTCACAAAATTCTGAAATTATCGTACATTATGGGATTTTTTTCATTATTGATCGTACACCGTACAGAGGTCAAAATTATCGTACAAATACGATAATTATCGTACGTCTGGCAACACTGGTTATATGCTGTTTAATGCTTAAAGGCACAATATGTAAGTTTTTGCGGCATGTTCAAAACAATAACAAAGCTTGATGACGCTCTGAAGAGGGGTGGAACCAATGGGTATTAAGAGATGATAAGATCTGATATGATATTCACGAATCATGTTCATGGATGAGGTAGATAATTACCTGTACCTTCCACAGTTATTCAAACAGTTATTATACATCTGCACTTGTTTATGAAGAGAGAATTCGCGAGCTGAATTCAGTCACGCTCACCACACTCACCACTGTTTCAGCGATGACTCATCTGAACGCCTCTGATTGGCCATTGCATTCATAAGCTCAACAGACTCGTGTGGGATTGGTTATAATGCACAACACTGTAAAAACGAGGAACATTGAGCTGATATAAATTTAATGCATTCAACACTTTTCATTTCAGCCATAATGGATTTACTTTAACTGTGCAGCACCATTTTGTCCACAAAACCGAGGATAGCGCAGATATTACATCATTGATAGGCGACCATGACCATGGAGGAACAGGGACGAGTCCATTTTGTCAAACTCTGGATTTACAAATCCTCGGGAACTTTTGGAATAGCGCAAGTACACAAATGCATGAAATATATAACACTGTGCAAGTGGTTTTTGGATATTTTATTATAAAAATCTTACATATTGTGCCTTTAATGATTGCGTTATGCATCAAGTCAGTGATATGAAATAAAAAGCAATTCTTGCAGCAGTGTTTTTCTCCTTTTAAGTTCCATCAGGTAGTTCTATGCATCTGAGTTTGTGCACGGCTCACTTTTCCCCTCCTTTTCTGAGCAAGGTATAAACAGTGCTGAGACTCAGCTAAAACTGAAGAATCTAGTAGCTCTTTAGTCAGTGGGATGTTGAGAACCCCTCTGTGAGACAGAAGTATGAGTTTCTGATATAAAGCCCAACGCTCTTGGTATGACTGGGTGAGGAATCCATGCAAGATCACACACAAGGCCTGTTTACACCTGGTCACTTCATGCAGTTTCTCTAATTCGATCATGAAAAGACCAGGGCTGTGTTTTCACCATTGCCACCAATGGAGCTACGATCAACTTGGGCTTCCTGTGCTTTTGGGAAACGCAGTCCTGGTCAATAGTAAAGGTATATAATAAGGCCGTTTTGTCTCATCCACATGTCAAAGTTTTCACAAGCTCAGAGTCTTACTGCTAAATTTACATTTCACAGTTACTTCTTGTCCACCTAAACACCCCAAATCTAGCATTTTGTTAGCATGTAAATAAGTGACCATGACAATCTGCAGCTAATCAAAAATACGTTTGCCTTTTCAAGTCTCTCTTCTGTTTGGGCTCTATAAAATGTAAACCTCTGCAAAAGGGTTTTAAGACTATTTATTTATGTTATCGGAGACTTTTTATGGACTTGTTGAAAGTGAATTTAATGCTTTTGCAGGCTTTTCAAGGATCCACGGCTACCCTACTTTCACCAGATTGAAGGCAAAGGTGATTTTTGAAATTGCTACCTTTTCTAAACCTCTTGCCACACGCAGAGCACTGCAGTTTCTTGGCAGAATGAGTCTGTAAATGCCTTTTCAGATCTTTATGATATTTGAAACTCTTCTCACACTGAAGACACGTGTAAGGCTTCTCTCCAGTGTGAACTTTCATGTGAGTCTTGAGGTTTGCTTTATTTGTGCAGCTTATTCCACAGTGATGGCATATAAAACCGTTCTCTCTTAAGTGAATCCCCATGTGGTAATTAAGGCTTTCGTTACGTGTGAAACTCTTTCCACACCGATCACATGTGAACGGCCTCTCTCCAGTGTGAATTCTCATGTGAGTCTTCAGATTTCCTTTTCGATTAAGCATTATCCCACACAGTTTGCAGGTGAAAGGTTTCTCTCCAGCGTGAACAATCATGTGAGTATGAAGGGGTCCTTTATGTGAGAAACTCTTTCCACACTTATCACATGTGAACGGCTTCTCTCCAGTGTGAATTCTAATATGAGACTTCAGACTTTCTTTTCGTGGGAAACTTCTTCCACACTGTTGGCAGGTGAAAGGCTTCTCTCCGGTGTGAACTCTCATGTGAACTTTAAGGTTTCCTTTCTGATTGTAACACTTTCCACACTGCTGGCAGGTGAAACTACCTCTAGTTCCAGTCTCCGGAGCACTTTTTTGAGAGGTCATAAAGTCATGATGTTTCTCATTTTGATCTTTCTCTTCTGTTTCATTCAGTTCTTGGTTCTCCTCTTTAGGCACCATCTGGTCTAAGGCAAAAAGAGACCAATACAGGTTAATTCTGGTTTAATGGCACAAAGTAAGAAACATCAAAACATTTAGACATTTAAATGCATCATGTCATGCATTCATGCATATGTGCCAAATTGCATGAAATTTTAAGCATGTCGAAACCCTCAAAAACACCCAATTATTATTCTAAGTTTGAAGTGATTTAGGTAATAGAGATTTTTTTTCAAAGCCTGTTGTATGTGACCCGTTGGTGGCGCTGTGACCATAACTCACTGTAGTCACACCCACAGGATCAGCCTCCTTGACCAATCATACAGCTCAAGTTTGATTTCCATTTTTCAAAACAACCAACATGTCAATAATCACATCACCTTCTATTATCTTGGCATCATGATGACCAAGTTTGGTGTCAATCACATGGATCCCCTCCAAGAAATGTTTAAAAGTTCACAGCATGCACTATTTATTAAACTAATGGCTGTCACTTTTAAAGTTCATGAGAACAGTAAACGTACAGCGTTTGGGGATTATAGGTAACACGGATTTAGTCAATCAATAATTTAGTCAAAAGGGGGTGCTACAGAGTCCTCTGTTCAACATCCATGTCTTAGCTTATTCCTACACCTAATAACTGACAACTCTTATGTGTGTGCAGAATTTCATTAGAACCTTAATAATGTTAAGAGCATCAAAATCATCACTATCCCTTTAAGCCTCATCATAGCACAGAAACTGTGCTTAATTATCTGCTTTTGGCATCTCATCACAACTACATGTGTCCCTTCTAGTGCAATTAGATAAACACAGACCATGACATTCTCTTGGATAGTTTAATTATTATGTTGGCATTTGTGCACAAGCATTAGCACAGCTTAGGTCCTATCTATCCAACCGCTACCACTTGTGTTTGACGAGATGTCTATTCATTTATACAAAGTATGGAGTACCACAGGGCTCAGTATTAGGTCCTCTGCTTTTCTTCTTGTATATTTCCCTCTAAGGGACATTATTATTTATTTTCACTGTTATGCTAATGATACTTAGGTTTATATTTCCTCACAACCTGGAAACACTGCACAACTTAACTAGTCAGTGGACCAGGCCCGGCGCCAAATTGTCATAGTTAGGGGGCACCATTAGACCTGGTGACTGATTTGGCCCCTCCTGCTCCTTTTCATTTATTTATTCACTTAATTATTATTACTCTATATTATTGCCTGCCCGATATATATTCGGTTTTCAATATTAAATTGACTAATAAGCTTAATAAGTAAATCAGCGTTTATAAACTTTATTACAACTGTATATGTGTGTAGATCAGCAGCCTAAGATTGCAACAGTTTATTTGGAGGACCGAGGAGGCCCAGGATTTTATGGCTCATATAAGCTATGAACATGAAGCGTAGTTCGGTTAAGGCTTTCAGTACGCCTGCAGCCTCAAGTCTGATATCTGTGCTGTATGTGTGAGTGGTTTCGATTTCACGGAGCATTTCAGTTATGCTGTTACCAGATTTCACAATGACTGACACTGTAGCGAGGTACCCAGTCTATCTCTGATCAAGCAGTCTTTTCAGTTTTTTACCAGAGTATTGTGCAGCCACTGTGGGTTTACAAATAAGAATGTGTAAAGGGAATTGCACACACTGAAAAACTCCTCTATTGCCTTCTCAGACGACATTGCATTTACCACCAACAAATATAGCTGGTGATTAAAACCATGAACATATGGCACTCCGCGATTTAATTTGTCTTTGCAGCATTTTTTTGCATTTTGCTGTGTTTTCCAGACATAACATTTGCACTGTCATAACACTGACTAAAAATCTTGTCAAGCCTGAGGCCAGCATTAGTTAGTTCGGAGATAACTAGTACAGTTAATGTCAAGGCGTCACATTGTTTGCTTGCAGTCATTGTAGTCAGTCTCTCTCGCACACGATAGCCGTCATTAACATATCTCACTACATTAGAAATGTTTTCACATCCAGCTGGGTCTTTAGTTCCATCCACTTTAAGGGTGTACCATGAATCACGATCTCCTACACAATGTGTTCGGTGATAATCTCGCTCGTATGCGAGATGTGATTTGGTTCTGGATGTCATAGGAGGTATACGTTGGTGGCATTACATGGAATTGTGCAGAATGCTTCTGCGAATTCTGTCTTTTTTTATTGTGTACTCTAATGAGACCACCACTTTTCTCACCCATGGAGTTCACGGCATCTAAACTCCCTTGCAAAGGAAGCTTGTTCGTAGCAATAAACAACACAATGTCCACTATTGCTGACGCACATACACGGTGTATTCCTAATTGCTCAGTATTGACAATAGTGGAAATTTCTTTACCCATTGCGCTGCAAGTTTTTTGGCCTTCCACAAAGTCATGTATTTTCAATGCTCCTTAGAGGTTTCATGCTTCCCAATTTTTTTTTGTTATTGCTGTCAATTGCGTGTTACCAGTTTGAATAGCCGGTATGAGAGAAAGCTTGAAAAGCACAAAATAAAAATGCATTTACTTAATTTTGACTTTTCTTTTTGTCCAGCGTTAACTAAAGCGCACAAAACCATTTCTTCAATTCATTTTTCAAGTCACCATGAAATCAAAATCGAAAATTCTTATTTTTTTTAATGGAATACTGTAGTTTATTATAAATAATTTATCTGTGCACTTCATTTTTTTTTTTTTAATTCATGTGCCCTCATAATCTTTAATCAAAAACATTAACCTCCCCTTCAAAACGACACATCTTCTCTTCCGATCACGAGCTACGGCGCAAGGGCGGAGCTAGTGACGTGAGGGGTAAACGCTGGGGTAAACGACGGGGAAAAGCTGAAGCTGATGCTTCACTTTATAGCACTGACACCAGCCATGACGGAGTACGTTACCTCATAAACATTGAAAAGATATTACGACAACATTACTCTTAGGACATCGCAAACTAATTTTTTTCATGAATATGACTTGACCTGATGGAGGACGCGCTCAGTCATTCAGGCGGTCGCTCTCTCGCGCTAGGCATGTTTTGTGCCGTTGATCGTTGTCGTCATCCTTAATAAATAAAACATTTATTCATGCTTGGGTGTCGGCTGTGAATCCAGCGGAGAGAAATCCCCCACCACTAACTGCAAACTGGCATTCAGATCTGCCTCCATTTTGTTAGCAATGCCCCAGCTTCCAACGATCCAATCAATTCCCGAAGGACGAAATCAAGTCCCGCCCTCTCATTTCAGATGCCGTTTCACTCGGATATACGTCACAGCAGAGAAGAAAAGACAATCGCAACTTCCGTTTCATGCCGACTTTTAAAGATCATTTAATTATTTATTTTTATTATTACTTATTCTTTTTTATTAATGGCAGGGTTTCGTGGTTTTTAGTCACGTGACCGGCACAGAGACCCGCAATGCTATTTTAGTTTTATTAATATATTGAATAAGTTTTACTTTTATTTTTTTAGTTTCCTTACAAATTTTAATAAAAATTTTTTTTTTTGCAAATTCGTTATGAGCTTTTGTCATTTTATTATTATTTTAATGGCCTAATGCTATTTATGTTTATTTGATATTAAATTATTTAAATTCACATAGTTCATATTTCAGTTTTTGTTTAGTTTAAGTTTTTTTATTTCGAGTTAATAATTTTAGTGCTTCAACGTAAACTTATTTCAGTCTATTAAGGCGACATTTTTCATTTTTCAACTAAGGTTATATTTAATTTAATTTCAGCTTTATTTCAATGAACTTAAATGTTTTAATAGTTTAAGTTAATAATAACCCTTTTCCTATGAATTTAATGAATTATTTAAGCTTAAGCCTTGTCTTTGAAACCAGGAGACAGCATCTTCACTTTTGGGTCTTCTTTTCCGCTAACAGAGCTCGTGAAGGTTGCATTTAAAGTCCCCATGAAATCAAAATTAAAGTTTTATGGGTGTTAGTATCAATATGTTAGTCTTAAGGTTATCTATAAGGCAGTGTGCTCCAAAACAGTGACCAAATTTGCATTTAGAAGATATAAGCATTCAAAGCTTGCAGTTCGTCACTTCTGCCAAAACGGCTCAACGATTTTTTTGACGTCACCTCGTACTTCAGCTTCTCATCAAACTTTCTGTCCAATCAAACGCTCTCTAGAATCCGAAGCTCCGCCCCTGCACTATAAATAGACGCTGAACGGCTGAAATCGGTCACTTGTCCACAGAATGAGTATTTTCTGCACCGCACCGCACACACACACTCTGCTCCGGTCCAGAGACACGATAGCACGGAGCGGATCACATGCGCGAGTCGCCGCAGACCACAAAATGTATCGGAGCTATTCGAATTCTACACAGAATGCTATATTTTATAGCAATATGGATGAGATTGTGGCTGGCATACCCTGCGGCTTTACGGAGCTCAACGGCTCTAGCCTAAGCTGTGATATAAACTAACGCTATTGGCTATTTTAAAAAGGGGCGGGGCCGCTTGATATGTCCCACCCTCTCTTCCCGTTTCAGTTAAAATGACGTCAACACAGAGTAACGCTGCGTGTTTCTAAGCATCTCAGGGGACCTTTAAGGAAAGCATGTTCCATCAAGGAAACAGCACTTAGGTCATTGCATTCCTCTGTGCCTTCATGTAGTTGTTCATTTGTACGTTAAAGACATCCACCTGAGATTAGGTAAGCGAAAGTGTTGCGTTCATTGCATAAATTCGTTTATACACATTAACAAAACTGTTTAAGTATTTGACTGAATTTAGTCCTCCAACAATGCTTTAATATACATCTGTCTTTACAACAGTCCTATGACATTCTTCAAAAAAAGCTGGGCATTTTATTAAGGATCAAATGAGTGAGTTCAGCTTTGAGAATAAAAACCAACCTGTTTGTTCCTCAGCATCTTCACGTTTGAACGTTTCTTCAATCTTAATGTCTTCATTCTCCTCTTTAATAAATGCCATCTTATAATCGTGTTTCACATATAGTCGCTTCAGCAGGAGTTTTTCTGTGTTTGGACACTTTGTCCTGTTAAACATTATGAGAGAAAACAAAAATGCTAATTAAATATCTTAAGTGTATCTCAATCAGCTCCCTAGTTCAGTAGTGCACTAGTGAGTCCGAGTGAGAGTTAATGACGTTAAATCATTTGATTAAAAAAAAAACTGAACTGACATTTTGTATTACGTTGTGGCTTATATTAGGTATTTATTTACTTTTTAATTATATTATATATTACACTGTCATCTAAAAAGCTGGTTTGTATAACTCGGCTACACTTGTTTGGAGAAGCGGTGTCTCGTGATTCAACCGATTCGAATCATTGAATCATTTTGTGAATCAATTTGTTCAATTGATCACTACTATCACTACTTGCAGTGACTGCATTTGTGTTCACACTTAACAGATTCACAATACTGCGAAATGAGATGCACTTTTTCTGTTACTCACGTGCAGATGCATCGCATTAATGTTAAATAATATCATGATCATATTAATTAGACAGAATAAAGCATTGCAATGTCGCACTCAAAAATTCTTTCTGCGTCGCTGGTAAAACTGTAGAATTGAGTGAACGGTATACATGGATTAACACATTAACAAAATGCTTTAAAACACAAACCTTTCTTCAGCTCTGATGCAGGAGAGCGACGCAGCCTTATGACGTCACATCGCCAGACCAAAATAAAAGTCCTGTCCTGATAAAAGAGTTGAATTACTGGTGATATATGTTGTCCAATGATGTGATGGAAATATTAAGAACTACTAATGAAAGGGTGTAAGATTTTGTCTTTAAAAAACTGTAATGTTTTGGTGCAACGATTTATACCAGATCTAAATTAGATTCAAATGCGTCAAATTGTGAAAATAATTCATTTCAATTATTCAATTATTTTTTTCAACAATAATGAAAAAAAAGAGTGTATTTTTCTAATATTTTAAGTAGATATTTAAAGTTAATTAAATGCCCAAAACAATTAAGAACGAGGTTTTTTTTAGAAGATAATAAGATAAATGAAAGCAAAAGCAATACAAAAAATTTAAAGTATAAATATTCTAAATTCTAATCGCTCACCGAGACAATGTACACCTGCTGAACTCCACAGACAACTGTTGTTTTTCTAAAAATTCATTTTAATTCATCTTATTTATTATTCCCCTTAATTATTTTTTTATAAAGTTATTTCTTCATATTGTTTTGTTGTGTTCATGTTTTATGCTTTATCCCATTAACTTGAATGCCAACCACGTGCATACATATTAGGGCTGCAGCGAACTATTATTCTTTGTTGATTAATCTGTCGATTATTTATTTATTTTATTTTTTATTATCGGAGACATCTTGAAGCGCTACTTGCTGATTAAGGACCTTGTGAAATAATCCCAGAAGGTGCTCTTTGGTTGGGTTTGTACCTACACTATTAATGTTTTAAACAAATACTCAAATCTCTCTTATCTCCAACTATGGCTTTTGGAGAAATATGTGTGTTTTTGTTTTTAAATATATAGAGATTCCAAAAATGACGAGAACCGATTTTAAGGTGCATCTGGTAACACACGTGGGACACACGTTTTTTATCTCATTTGAACTTCGATAATATAATTGCTTACAACAGGATACTATACAAATCTCTTTTGTTTTTTATTTTCAATAAAAGTTTTTTACAACTATAAAAACAGACACTCTAGTGGATTGTTCGTGACGTGTACTCATAAACACTAACATTTCAAGAATCAAGAAACTTCGACAGGAGAAGGCTACAAAAGATGTGAATTAAAACATTTCAACAGAAATGCATTGAAGCACTTCAACAGAGGTACTGTGTACTAGTATAAAACTCGACTTATTTTCTGTCTTCTGTGACTTTTTCCCTGTGTTCTCTTGATTTTTTGTTTTGTTTTTGAGCCTACATATTTGAAGTGTTACACATTTAAACGTGATTTCCATGTCATTTGGGGTACTTTCAGAACAAAGGCAAATGCTATGCAGGTGTAGCGGCAAGAGTTTATAAAACCTCATCCTTAAACACTCGTCTGTACTCGCCTCAAGAGAATAGTGAAATTTTGCTACAGATATTACAGCCGATCGGCAGCCAGCGTTGATTGTACAGCCAATAGAATCACACTTTCACCATGGACACTGTTCGCAGACTTGATGAGGCAAATATTGCAACGTTTATTTTTGTAGTGTTCAAATTAATGCACATTTATTTAACCATATATGCACCTCACACTCCACCAGTGTCAGCCGTGTATTTTGCCATGGCACTGTTGATGAACCTCCTGGCTTTGTTCGTCTTCCGGCCTTCTTCCCACCGCCACACACACCTCTCAGTGATGCCAGAGAAAATCCCTGTGGCATTGGTAAGTTTCTGGAGTGCAGAAAGTTCCTCCTTCATGGAGCTCAGAAGATCCACACTCCTCAGTAGGCCTAGGTCGTTTCCCCCAGAAACATTCCTATCCAAAAGGACAAAATAAAGGACAGATAGCAATATTTTCAACTGTGGCATGTATGAAGTCAGTTTAAGCGGCAGGTGACACCTAATGCCGGGTTCAGACTACATTATATTTTTGTCACGATAGTCACTGTGTCAGATTACACGATGTTGACTCCTAAAATCTTGTGTCGTGTCGTGGACAAGAAACATGGCAGACTACACGTTGCTTCCCGACCATTCATGGCGTGCCGTCTTTAACGACGTGCGTGATGTCATCGAGAAGGCGGAACTAGCGACTGACTTCCGAAAACAAGAGTGTCAACATTTACTGAAGCGCTTCCGCTATAGTTCACCAGCATTTTTCTTTCTTTGTTCTGTCGAGGTAGTCCTTCGATGACACATCATACAGGCAGGCAGCTCCACGAACCTTTCCTCCATCTCATAACTCCACCTAGCAGCACCATCATCTCTCTTTCGTTTCGCCATGTTTGAAACCTGTGTATGAAAGAGCTTCTGTGCTGCTATTGGTCGACGTCACCAATGTGACAGAACTCGTCGTGGACGATGGGAAAAAAATTAAACATGCTAGTCTTTCTGTCGTGAAGCATCGCAGACGCGGAATCGGTTGTCGTCCACTAAGACACTACACGAGCTGAACGTCCCGACGCCATTGTCGTTTACGAATCCCCACGACACCCTACGTCAAGCAAATCGTGGCAAAATCGGGCTAAAATCGTGTAGTCTGAACCGTGCATTGACTTGTATTTGTACTTGACTTGTAATTATTGGACGACACGTGTTTTCGCTTTGTGAAACTGAAAAGATTCGTGGGACTGGTTGGGAAAAAAAATTTCCGTTGCGCGAATGTTCGCGGCCTATGTGGAAGCATCCATAGGAATCTGTCGTTTTATTCCATCGCACCCGATATTCGTTTAGCTTTTTCGCGCTCAGTGTGTGGAAAGGCTTTAAATGTGACATGTTCCATGTTTCCTGCCATTCATTGTTAATGAATTATTTTATCTTCCCTTTAACATCTTCCTTGCTAAGAGTCACTTGTACTTCTATTTCTGAATGTTTAAGAGCTTGCTTAGCTAGTTTCCGTCATTTCATTAGCCTCGAACCCACAGGAACATTATTAAGCTTACACTACTTATTTTTAACAAACATGGAAGAATCTCATAAACAATATCTTGCCTTGATGATTTTAACCCACTTGCAGGACTTGTCATGCACATCAACATATTTTTGTAGTCGACGTAAACCATGAGGTCAATGCATCGTTGCATTACATTACATTTGAATTCACACTGCATGAACCTTGTTGCTTCTCTTATTAGTATGTGTAAAATGCCTAATTTTCACTTAAAACTTAGTCGAGCATCTTTTGCACGAGGATGCCTCCTCACAGCAGTTCTCTTCCTAATGCTGCCGTTGTTATCGACTCGAAATGCATTTTCTTATGCATTCACTCTTTGTATTTCTTCTCTCTCCTTACGCATTACACTGCACTGTGTTTTTAACTTTGCAAGCAACAATAATGATCATTATTAATTTGCAGGTTGCCACTACTGAAGAGACCAACTTTAATGAAAGCTACTCAGATAATCGTAAGAACACGAATATGAACTAAAATGTGCTTTTAAAAATATTATATTTCGTTACCACTTGTAGTACACTTGAACCCATATTACATACACTTTTAAATATACTCATCATGCATAGAAAAAAGACTTATTATTATATTATTTAAAATATAAGAATAATATACAATAAATATATCCAAAATGTATTTATAATGTATGGCACACATATTTTTATAAGTAAATTAGTGCTGTCAAACGATTAATCGCGATTAATTGCATCCAAAAAATAGTTTTTCTTTACATAATATATATGTCACAGCCACCACAGTATATATATTTAAAATATTTACATGTATATAATTATAGTACATATATATTTAATATATAAACATACATTTTTCTGAAATATATACATGTGTGTGGTGTGTGTATTTAATATACACAGTACACACATATATTATGTAAACAAAAACTTTTATTTTGGATGTGATTAATCGCGATTAATCGTTTGACTAAAATAAATAATTTCAAATGTATTATAACTATGTTAATATTCCCTGTATATGATATACTTAACTACATGTTACTGGTGTCTTTACAATCAAGTACACAATTAGAATGTCATTAGTAGCACTATTTCCACATTAAAATATAAAGAACTTTGTGCTAAAAGTATACTTTTTTTTACTGTTTAATTGTGAATTTTGGTACACATTTAACCTGCATGTTTGTCACCAAAAAAACAAAACACAATGAACTATTTGAATGTTAGAAATAATACATTTGACTAAAATAACTGCAAATGTAATTCATGTAAATGTAAGCACCCATAGATTGAAAGGATAATTACTCTATCCCCACAAAGATACAACAATGCAGCACAGGTATGGTATATAATGTACAAACAATTTATGTAAAGCGATCGTAGCACACTTTGAAGCAATGCAAACACTTCTGGTACTTTATCTGATTACACTTAAAATCAGTTTAAGTGTTAGAGCTAATTACCGCATTTATATTAAGTGTACTTTAGTGGCGCAGTTGGGAAAATGTAATCATAGCTAGTACATTAGTCATATATTTGTAATAAAATCATTTTATATTGCTATATAAAAGTCTACTAAGATTGAACTCATTTTGAAAGCATTCCAAGCACACTTCTAAGTAAAACTCCTCTGTATAATTTTTGCAGTAGTACACTTTATTTCAATGCACTTAAATCAAATTAAGTATTAGTTGTATTTAGTATACTTTTTCCAAGTGCACCGAAGCACTTCTGAAGTAGAAATATACTTTTAAATGTGTATGAAAAAAATTATTAGCTAGGTTTTTTTTTTAGTGCATTCAAGTATACTTCATTTTTACGTGGGTTTAATTATATGGTACATAACAATTTCTCTCTCCGCCTCAGGGGCTCTCTTGCCCTTAGAAAGACTTCTTCTTGGCTTTCTTGTTTTCAGACTCAGTTACAATGTCATCAAAGTCCAGTGACAGAGCTTGCGTTGTTCCGAGTTCACTTTTAATTCTAGCTATCAGTGAAAATGATCTTTCTCCTTCACAGTTTGTAACTCGGCAATGTCAAAAATATGCGTAGGGCTACAAACACATTGGGGAAAGTTGATTGCAGACTGTGTTTCAAGAGCACCTGCAGCAGTATGCAGCATCTGAACTGGATAAT